CTTAACCGTCGTAGATTATAAAAAGTGCAGTACAACTGTTTGCTCGGGATCTCTAATGTGCATTACGCAGGATATGTGATACACGATCGCACGACGGTATGATGCAGATGTGAGACAGAACCAAGCTCCTTGATGCAGGCGTTTTTTACAAGTACCGCCAATTATTATTGTGGAAACGTGCAAGACACGTGCCACGAGCGGGTGCTCAGCCTCCATACGCTTTCAAGGGCCAGTCATTTTTTGGTGCTGTGCCGCCATTTGTTTCCAAGGGCCGCTCGAGACACGGGCCTCGAGTACTGACACATACTTGAAAGACCAACGCAGACACATCGAGGGGCTTTATCCCTCCAGGCGCTACAGGTTCTGCAGCGTGAGCTCCGTGCTTTGAACGGAGCTCGCAGTCGTGCATTTCTTCACATGCTCTTATCTGCGGTGCCACAACACACTCGGCCAACGACACACCACCGCACTTGGTTTCGCCTGTGAGCCAAACCAAATGAGCTACGCTTAGAGTATCGGCACTCTTTTCCCCGTTATTGTTGTGGGCGCTGCCATCGTGGTGGTTAGTACAAATCAAACGCAACTGCCGAGCGTCATGATTCAAAAGTGCGACTTCCTCACCATTAGCTTTGGTGTTAGGAAGCCCACGTAATATTGCTTTGCTTTGTCGCGAACTGTCTAAACATTTCTGGAGGATTAAAATTCGTTTCCTGTAATTTTAGATAAAGCTTTATATAACTGACAACCATCATTTTAAGCACCAAGACCTGTATGAAGCGTAGCTTATTTAGTAGCTCTACTTTGTCCCGACCGCACAGGCACAGAAAGAGAACGAACTACTTGACCTCGCGGTCTTGGCGCTGCTTCAGTGGCTACCTAAGCCCGCAGCGTTGGCTGCACTCCGAACTAAGGTAAAAAAAAAAAAAAAAAACTTTAGATCTTGGGGTTTACAAGCCAAACCAACAAAAATCACTTAACACGGTCCAATAAAACAAAATTGTGGGTTTATTTTCAATAACTGGAGATCTTTTGACGTGCAACCGAAATCTCCAATTGGCCGCCGTCAGATTGCGAGCACTTCGGCGATATTTAAACCCGACAAATATGGATTCATGGGCCAGCGTGTTGGCTCAGTGACACTGAGACTTTTTAATGTTTTCAGTGCGTTGTTTTAATACCATTGCAACTTAAGAGCCACCGAGGTGGTTTTTGAAACAAAATATAGTCGAACCATTCCGACAGGCATAGTTTGATTGCGAAAATGATTTTTGAAAGTGATAAAAACGTTAAATGCTTTCGCATACGTGGCGGAATCCCTTTCATGGGGCCCATTTCATTTGGATCGCGTCAGGCATGTGTACCGAATCACAATTGAACGCGTGCAAAAGCAGCTGTGGTGCACCCGCAGCCTCGCGCTTGTTGTTCTGACATTTCTGACTCGCTCACTGCGGACATCCAGGCATCTGACAGCCTGACACCTGCCGCTTTTTCTGTCTTTCACGATGCGTTCCAAGCGGCACACAACGGAAAATGCACATCAAGGTGTTCTTGAACACGTGTCGCCGTCTGTATATTATATTAAGCAACTGCAATTTGCCGTAACTGAATGGGAAAGTTTGACGTCTTATAACATTCTTAACGTGTAATATATCAATATGGAAGTTCTGGACAATTTAGTATCGAATGATGCTTTATAATCTAATGTCTCGTTATTTTGATTAGTTGACGTGACTTCGTTTTTATAGCGCCAAGAAATAATGCCATTTTAAACTTTATTTTTTATATTAAAATTTACATTATCGGTACAGTTCGTTGTTTGCTTCTTATTTTTATTACATCCAACCGAACGCTCACGTCAAATATCGTGGCCGATGAGACGTTATAACTCGAGAAATAATTTGTTCAATATTAGAGAGTGTGGTCTATTAAAAGCTAAATAATTAATTAACAACTAAAAACAAATTGTAATATCGAGACATTAAAGTATTGTAGAAAAAGAGCTCTTTAATTTGACATTAACTTTTTAATGCTAAGATACATAGAAAGAAAGTTATAAGCTGCAAAAAAGCACCAAAACGTCATGCACGGTGGAGTTGCACCTAGTGTTTTGTCCGCGTATATGCAGCCTCAATGACGTCACCGTGTCCCGTGACGTCATCGCAGAGGCGCCTTTAATGCACCGTATCGATACGTATCTCGTGATGTCACTTGACACCATGACGCTACGTGACACGACCTGACGTCACGTGGTCACATGACACCAAGTTTCACCATAAAGTGACGTCGTTACATGACGTTACAGTGTCGCGCGACATTGTGAAAGCTTTATATACACAAAAATCTCGCAATGTGCCCTTCAGCGACTTCCTTCCTGTACCTGCGAAAGGAGCAGGGCAAAGAGGCTCGATAAATGCCATGCATTTACAACGCCTTTGGGAAACGCCGAAGAGCTAGCCAATTTATATAGCTGCTTTGCGCATCAACTTAGAATGATTTCGATAATCGTGATTCTGAAGGCAAAATGAAGACGGCTGAATTTCAAGGTGCGAAAGTATGCAGGCGACTTGGTTAAGGAACATCGTAAAGTCTAAACCTCGAGACAAGATTTTATCTCCACTCGTCTCGGGGCTTAGATCATGACGGCTGAATTTGTTTTGTTCAAACACAGATCCAATGGCTGCCTATATCAAAATGGCTCGCTATTCTTAGGGGATCTTTCTTTAACGGCCTCTTTTGTGGCCAGGACACAGTAAGTCTAAGATCAGACATATACACCAATGGGCTATTTACAAACAGGCGGACTCTTTCCCGTGTGGACACTGTACGTTAGCAGGAACTAAATACTCTGTTTAACCATAAGTGCCGGTGAATCCGAAGGTACAAGCACGATCATGTCGTCTTAAGCGCCGTTCACACACTTGCAACAAGAGTACGACCGAGAGAGACCAGGGGGGCTGTCGCACGTTTTGGACTCCCAGGAGACTAGGGAAAAGGAAGCAACGTAGTTGCGAATGAACGTATCTTAGCAGCACCACGCAACGCGTCATCAGCGACTCCACCAATAAACATCCAAAGAACGTTGTTGACGTCACTTCCTTCTTCCTCGTCTCCTGGTAGTCCAAAACGTGCGACATAGCCCCCCCCCCCCCCCCCCCCCCCCCTCCCGACCGGTTTTTAAGCCTCTTGCGACGTCTTATAGGACTAGCTGCGCTGCAACGCATAGGGTTTTAAGACGTCGCAAGAGGCTTAAAAACTGGTCTGGTCTCTCTCGGTCGTACTCGGTTGCAAGACTGTGAACGGGCACGAGCGGGAGCTAGCCCGAGCTCCTGGCTTCGAGACACGCATTTTTAGTACGAGCACTCGTCCTGCGGAGGAACGCTTCAAAGCAACAAGCTCGAGCTCGAGCGCGTGCCTATAGCGTACCTTTTTGAAGCGCTGCACCCGCCCTTGTAGCCTCTTGGCTCGGCTCTACCGCATGGGATGTTTCTTCACACGCTTGTGTCACTCCAGGCCAGCCACAACAACAATGCGACGCGCGGGCTGACGCCCATATCTCGCCGGGACAGATATCCGGAGTGTCAAATGACTCGAGAGAGGGCCTGGACTGAGGACCCCAGCTCATATTCTTTGGGCCTAATACACTTTGATCTCTCTCTCTCTCTCGTCACTCGCGCCAACGCGAGGCGACGCGGGCGTAGCGCGCGAATAACGTCCCGTCTGGCCGGGCCTTTATAGTGAAAAAAGTGCTGTATACGGTGACAAACTGCGGGAGACGAGGAGACGAGAGCACGGTGGTGACGTCAGACTGCCGATCTCTGATTGGAAGTACAGTGTGTGTAGGCGCAAAGGCTACCTGCCTTTGTCCTCTACCCATCTCCCCTCCAATCAGAGCCAACAAGAGCGTCGTCTCCTTCTCGCACAGTCTCCGGCGTACGAATGCCGGACTGCGCAAGGAGTAGGCGCTCTGATTGGAGGGGAGATAGTGGGTATAGACAATGTCCTTCCGATCAGAGCTCGACGCTCTGACGTCATCACTCACTCTCCTCCAGTGTCTCCAACGTCTCGACCACGATCACGTGGTTTATGGGCCGCGCTTGCATAGCGAGCTGCAAAGAGGTTACGAACGCGGCGATCGTCTGCAAGCAGTCTCCACCCGCGTTGTTCTTCGCTACGCAACGACGCGGCGCATGCGCAATTGAGACCAATGTGCGCAAGAGGCGTCCGCCATTAAAGGGATACTGGAACGAAATCCTAGCTCCTGTTTTATTGCCTAAATGTTGACCACGTTCAGGCCACACCACGGAGACAGCAATTTTTTTTGTTTTTTGCTCGAAAAGACATGAAAACATTATTTAAAGAGGAATAAACCGAATCCCGTTACGTAAATCTGAACTTAAAAGTAGTGCCGCTCTGCGGAAATACGGCGGCAAGCTTTGACCGCGCGAGCTCTCTCGAACCGCATTTCCCTTCTCTCCCGGCGTACTAAACTCCTGCGGAGGGTGGGGAGGGGCAACTAAAACTGCAAGATTGTAGTAACGCGTCGACGACTCCAAGTGGAGGAGCTCATAACCACGCCAGCCCCCAAAACAGCTTTGCCCGTGCTGGGCCAATTGACGTCACGTCTTTTCCATAATGCATCGCCCTCTCCGATGGCTGATCTTCGAGCACTCGCTGGAATCGGTCTTTTGTAACGAAAAATACAGCTACCCGTTCAAAATGCAAGCGTGCGATTTTCATTGGCAGAAAGAGTTGATCACGTTTAACTTTTTTCTGAACGTGATAGGTATACCTTAAATTTCGATTCAGTATCCCTTTAAATTGCAAGCGCTCTCAATGAGATTTAAATCTAAGCTCTCTAGAGCGCAGTGCCGCCAGCAGCGCCGCCGTCGCGGCATGACGTCACCGACAGCCTTTGATTACGCACGTTTAGTTATGCAAATACAGAACTCCTTAGCTTGCTTTAAAAATTATAAATAAAATATGTTTTTTTCTTTCAGATAATGAGACATGTAACCATCACCATATCACTTGGCATACTATTGCTGGTCTGCTGCCAAGGTAAGCGCTTTTCCACGAATATTAACGAAGTGAGAGAGTACTGTACGTAATGTAAACTCTAACTTTGTACTTGATTACAGGAACATCGGCACAGAACGCCTTTCAGGTACGTTTATCTTGTTGAATATTCCTCAAAAAAGCCTACCCAGAAAAAACACAGCGAACAAGTTTGCGCAATTTCAATGAAGTAACCGAAATTCTAAACGCGCGTGCACGTGCACGAGACACCACGAGCCTTCTCATGTGCTACCGCGAGCTTCCTGTGAACAAAAGACGGCTACATATAAGAGGTATTCACTGGACGCCATATTTGAGGGCGATGTTTAGAGCGCATGCTCAGAACGAGCTCACATCAATAGCCTGCTAAGACCGGCAATCTTGATGGTGCTAAATGCACGCTCCAAAAGGACTGCGGAAGCTCGCCGTCAGCACGCGCTCAGCAGCAGCGCACACGGATATGGCCGCCAGTGAATACTCCCTATAGGAAGTATTCACTGGCGGCCATAGCTGTGTGCGCGAGTGCTGAGCGCGTGCTGATGAATAGCTTCCAGTAGAGTGCCTCTATGTTCTTCTGTTTAGGGTGATGCCATCGTTTGTAGTACCCGATGCCGACAGCACGCGCTCACAGCGAAAATACAAAGAAATCGCAGGAAACAAAATGTCGCCATAGCAAAGTCAGCGCCACGAGCGCGTGCAGGGACACGCTCTTTCACGCGCTTGAGAACAAAAAATAAAAATAAGCGTTAGAAACAAAATGGCCAGATGTTATCACCCCAAGCAAAGCGTACATGAAGGCACCCTAGCTTCCAGGGTTCTATTGCAACGTGCATTCCACACCGTCAAAATGGCCGGTCTTAGCAGCCTATTAATGGGGGCTCGTTCTGAGCATGCGCTCTAAAGAGCACCCACAAATATGGCGTCCAGTGAATACTCCTTATGGATGCGCTGAACTACGAAAGCTTGGTGAGATCGTACATAGCTCTCAATCACATGAAATTTTCGGCACTGCTTCTGCGTCTACGTGCATTACAAACGAAAAAAAAAAAAAAAAATCCGCGGGTAGGATGCGATGTTTTACGGATTCCGCGACATCTCCCAAAATATGCTGCACAAACGGTCGAGGAACGCCAATTTCCATAGGCAATTTGTATGGTTTTGCTGTATGGTAAAAGGGGGTTTTAGTACATCATTCAGATACGTCATCCGATAACAACAGCGTTTTAGTATATCCTTCCGATACCTCCGATACCAGCGATAACAATAGAGAGTTTTAGTAGATCGTTCCGATACCTCCGATAGCCCCGATAACGATACTATGCATGCGCAAGGGAGGCGGTGGCGGAGTATCGGGATATCGTTATGGGAGTCATGGGAACGATCTACTAAAACTCTCTATTACCCGATAACGATATAGGATAAAATATCGTAAACGTGCAGGCGAGCTCGTGAGTATTAACCATCTTGGATTAACCTGAGACTGGAATAGAGAAGAAACATCAAAACGTAAAGTCTAATTTTGATGTTTCTTTTCTACCCAAATCTCAGGTTAATCCAACATGGTTAAACGATAGGATGCACTCGCAAAGGCTGCGACAGGATATCGGGTATCGCTATCGGAGTCATCGGAACGATCTACAAAAAAGCCCGATATTAGGGCGTTTTCGTAGACCACGTTTCCCCCTCCGCTAAGCCCTCCGCAACGAAGCATCCGCTACTGCGCCGGCGCGCCGATGGCCTTGAGTGTAGAGTTCCGGCTAGCGCAGCTGGTTGCAGAGAGCGTTGCGGGGCAGCGGAAACGATCTACGAAAACTCCCTAACGATACGACGCATGCGCAAAGGCGTCGGCAGAGTATCGGGTATCGCCATCGGAGTTCTAGGAACGACCTACTGTAACTCCCCACTCCCCACTGAGGCGGAAACTCACAAACGGTCTTACAGACGGTATTCACAATGACATAATATGGCCCCTTTGCTCCATTCCCCACTAAACTGACATTGCGGTGGAAGCTGCATACTTGTTCGACCGGGCATACGTCTGTCTTTCTCGCCACGTGGTCACGCCCTCGAGCGGGGTCAGGTGATGAAGGGAAGGCGGTTCATTGGTCCGGCGAGTGCGTGGCTTCCACTTCACTATCAGCTTGGGTGTGAAGAGATTATTCTGCACGCTGTGAGTGAAGTAATTCATCGCCTGTTAAGAGCCAAGGTAATCGAATGGTACCAGGAACGTGTTGAAAACTTCTCCAGCCAAACACGAGCACAATTACAACATTCACAGCGGCCAGTGAATCTAAAATGGATTTTTTTTTTTTAATTCTGAGGCTGACACAAAGCGCTTTTTTTTATTGACTTATTTTTGTTTTCCCTCATCCTTCAAGACCCCCCTAGGGAGGGCATAAAAGAAGGTAAAAACAGTCGTGTTATTTAAAAAAATGACAAAAAAAAAAGTATAATGGGCAGATAGAATGGAAAAACGAATAAGATTACTGTTAAAACACTTGTTGACTATGAAGCAGCGGTGAGACGGTTTGGCTCAGCTTCTCTCTGAAGTGATTTGGGTTAGATTATGAAACAATGCTGTGGGGGAAGGTTATTCCAATCTTAGCTGCGCGCGGAAAAAATGAAGCGGACGATGTCACTGTTTTAGTTTTTGGGCGCACTACATTAAATTTGTGACTTGTACGATGACGTTATATACGGTGAATTTGGTCGGAGATGATAATAAAATTTGTGAAGCAGTGACTGTCTAAAAGCACTTTCGTCGTGGTGATAGATCATTTATCACTTTGGCAAATACCCATGTCACACGTGCTCCTGGGTCATGACCCTTGTGCGCGCAGGAACACGAATATACAGTGCCAAATGTGCTACTGGGTTATGAGTTATGACTTTCATGCGCACAAGAACATGATCGAGTTGATAAGCCGATTGAAAAGTAGGCCGGACAGGTAGAATCTCGCTTTGTTTTGCTTTGTGCGTACGTATCAGTGGTCGTTTTGGAGCATTCTTGAAGCAACCAAAATTCAATTTTTGAGCTGAAAAAACAAACTTTTAGAGCCCAAGCATAAACTTCATGATCATGTCTTGGCCCACAATGGCTTATTCAAGTAAAAGACCATGCTTTCTTCGCTTCCCCACTCCTGTGCGACTGTAAAGTCATGGCGTGCCTGCCACGGCCCACGAGCCATGGAGGGCAGCGTGCTCTCGAATGGTGCACTTCGAGCAACGGCAGCAAGAAACGGAGCGGGCAAAAACATAAGTCTAGATTAGCAGCCCCGCTAAATGCGTTTCACTTTGTAAATATGTAAATAGTTTGATACGGGTACGTGGACGTCTCTACATCTCGTAATCTGGTGACCCGGATGAACGGATTAGCATCTATTTAGCATGCGTAGCAGACAATTTGATTCCCTAAAACGCTAACCTAGCTGCTTAATTGTGATTGAAAGCACCGCACACAGCAAGGAGACTGTTGTGACAAGTCATTAGTTTTGCATAAGAATACTCACTGCGGTATTCACTTGAGGCAAACCGTATTCTGATTGATAAGGGACACTGCATGAACATATGTGAATAGTTAGTTTACACATAAAATAAAACATGAACCATGTATAATTCTAATGCGAGTCACTAAAATAATTTTCTTACACGATGTTCTCATTTAATTGCACCCATTGATATTTTTTACATGGTTAATGATGATGCGCAATTAGCATGTGGGCGATAAACGTGCCACTTAAAATAAACCTGTCATGTCGTATTACACCTGAGACTGCGGTGGAAGAAATCGGAAGAACTTTCAGTAGAAGGAACAGACACAGAGAACGTCTCAAGAGACGTTCTCTGTGTCTGTTCCTTCTACTGAAAGTTCTTCCGATTTCTTCCACCGCAGTCTCAGGTGTAATACGACATGATTAGCTACCACCAGCTCGCCTGCACTCTCACCGTCTTTTCACTTAAAATAAATCTGGCTGAACATGTTGGGGCTATTCCCAAGATTCCGTTCACTCACCGGCACCGCGCTATAGGTAATTTGGCTTTAATTTAATATTTTTTATTGTGCAATAAGTAAGTTAACAACCTACGTGGAAAAAAAAAAAAAAAGAAAGGTTGTCGATGCACGGAATTAGTCAGAATATCGCAGGTTAAAAGCAAAGTGGAAGCTCTTCCCACTTCTTTCCACTTTAGCAGAGAGAACGCTGGAGGGAAGGTCGCCTCCTCTCCAGCGTTCAGTGTTTCGCTGACATGTTTTGGGGATATAGACCCTTTTAGGAAATTCGCGTGCTGATTGGTAGGTCTGAATAAAATACAGCGCAGTAGCAGAACGAACGACAGCGCGGAACATCCAACTGAGGATGATGACGCTTATTCATACGCTCTAAAAAAAGCCCGTGCATCCGCTTTCCCGCACAACACTCGGAGAGCCATCACGGCAACTTACGAAGGCAGCTCGGCGAATGACGATGGCGAAACATATGTTTAGACCAAAAAAAGCACTCTTGAGTTGTGACCAGTGGCGTACCAACTTGTTTTTGAGTGGGGGGGCAAACCAGGCACCCTGCTACCCCCCCCCCCCCCCCCCCCCCCCGCCCCTCGGGGCCGGCGGACACTGAACTTTGTTTCTATTAGGCAGGTAGTTTCTATCTACCAACGTTTTTCTAAGCACTGAGGTGAAGACAAGCTTTTACACACTACATAGTAATGGTGCATCAGGCACGTGGCCAGGATTTTGTTCCGGGGGGGGGGGGGCGGCGGCCATGGCAAAATGCTGTATGATGGGGAGGGAGAGAGGAGGCCCCATCAAAATGGAAAATTTCGGCGGGGGGGGGGGGGGGGGGGGGGGCGAAGGGCAGGCCCCATGCCCCCCCCCCCCCCCCCCCCCTTCCCCCCGCCACCCCCTGGATACGTGCTTGGCGCCGATCATATCCCGTTTACCCGTACAGCGCAGCGGGGGCAAAAAGCGTGAACTGGGCGTACACGTCTCGAAGCTGCGATCTCGTGCTTAATAGTGAATGGAGTACAGGAGCGATCAAACATATGTGTGTGCTCTGTTTGGTTCTTTTAATATGGCAAGAAATGTGTCCCTGAGTACGGGACCGACGAAAAAAAACAGCCTTACCACTTTTCCTAGTTACTGTTACATTTTTCTCAGAAAGGACCTCCGCTATTTCAGGGGGGGCAAAACACATACCTTGCCCCCCCCCCCCCCCCCCCCCCCCCCACTCTGAGAAGTGGGGGGGCAAGCGCCCCCCTTGCCCCCCCGGTTGATACGCCCATGGTTGTGACATTAAGCAATGCAAGCGTGACGTTTTGCATTGCTTAATGTCACAACTCAGACTGCGTTGTTTGGTCTAAACATATGTTTCGGCATCGTCATTCGCTGAGCTGCCTTTGCCGTGATTGGCTCTCAGAGTGTTGTGCCGGAAAGCGGACGCACGAACTTTTTTTAGAGTGTGGCACGTCACAACTTCGATGATATGTGTGAAGCTGAACAGCAACACCGCCGAATTTCTGACTTTACAGTTATTTTAGTTCATGAAAGCAGACTAATTCCTACTGGAACTGACAGAGTGAGCTCTTGGCCAATCGTTGATACTCTTCGGCGGCACACTTCGTCGTTAAAAATCATGCCCTTTTCCCACACGCACACACACAAAAAAAAGCACTTTTCTGCACACTGGCACACAAAAAAAAGCGATAAAAAAAACATTGCACTAGCAAGTTTTAGAGCGCAGCTCTGGTGCCTGTTTCCGGGTTGAGCGGCGTCGGCGTCAGCGTAACCGCGCGCGTTGCACTGTGGGAAGTCACAGTTTCCCCGCTAAATTTAGCGGGGAAACTGTTGTGGCCACGCGACGTCAATTTCTCCGCTAAATTTAGCGGGGAAACTGAACCCGCGAAATTTAAAGTGTGAACTTAATTTAGCGGAAAAATTTTCCTTCTAAATTTAGCGGGAAAATTTTTCCCTAAATTTAGCGGGGACATTTTTGCTAAATTTAGAGAAAATTTCCCGCTAAATGGGAGGCCAGGAGGAGAGGGGAGGAGGGGGGGGTATGGAGGGAGAGGAGAGGCATACTCTCCCCTCCTCCTTCTCAAGAGCTGCGTTCTAATTTCGCATTACAGATAATCGTAAACGTCCTACATTTTTAATTTAATTTTTATTAACTTATCTACTGACACCGAAGAAAGGAGGTGGGGAAATGCTTTTGGCTGCCGCGACAAGGTCGAGCAGCCAGTTTAAAGGGATCTCTAGAGAGGCGTACTACCACCACTGATTCAGAAGCTTCTTGGTCGCGAGGATAACAGGCGAATATTTCTTTCAGTCGCGCATTCGGAAAGCTTGACGACGTAATTGTCAAACTCCAAACCACCCGCCTGACGACAGTCGAGAGAGGCTACGTGGGCGCTTGTTCCAGCTCAGAGTTGAGGGGATGAACGATGCCCATATTTCTCGAGTTTATTTGCTAACTGCCTTTGCTTAGAAAGAGAATTACTAATGCAAGTTTATTCGGTTATTAACGCTAGGAAGTGATTTTGAGTGGTACTTAGCGAACATAGAAAAATCGTTTCATGGGCTGCTATGCGATGCTGCGGCACGCAACGTTCGCACTGTTGGATGTTCTGCCCTATTTCAGTGTTTTCAGGACTAAGAGAAGCAATGACATAAATCTCCCCTTCTCTCCACAACCTTCATTTATTTTGTCTCCTGTCCTAAAACCTTTTACAGGCGGAATAGTAATTTTAGAATTTGGTGTGCATATCGCGTGCTTTCTCGTCAGCTTATGGCATTCTCGCTCTCAACGTAAACCATAGCAAATGCTGTATGAGCGAGCTTCTAACTTTAGGGTGTGCCACGGCTGTACGCAAAAACGTGCAGCAGGAACACCTACAAAGCTATCCGCTCGTGTTTGTAGTTTCTTACATTTGCATTTGGCAGTAGTCTGCATGTGAATCATAATACCATCGTGTCAATCCAGGTGCATGGCGAGGAAGTTCCTCTGGGTCTGGCAGTGAGCAATGAGCACCGCCAGAGAGGCCAGGCCATCAGTGCTCACCAGCAAAGCCTCTGGAATCCTTGGGATCATCAGCCCAATGCCAGACCAACCTTTAGCTTTCCTGTCTACCATGGAAATGGATATGCCCAGGGAAATACCTTTGTAGCTTCTGTAAAACCTCAGGTACCACCACATGGAGCTACTAGGGTTCACCAGGCTGGACAGCAACCTCAGCAACTTCGGAGTGAACTCCAGCCACCACAACAATCAATACATGACCAGCAATCACAGCAGCAAGAGCAACTGCAGCAGCCACATGTGCAGACTCCATTGCAAACAAAGCAGCTACAGGAACTGCAGCAGCCACAGCAGGTGCCACAGTCAGAAAGAGCACAGCAACCCCAGCAAAAGCCGCAGCCACAGCAAGTGCAGCAGCTACATAGAGCAGGGCCACCCCAGAAAAAGCAGCGGCCAGAAGTGCACCAACTGTTGCAACTTCAGAATCTTCAACAGAACCAAATAAACCATACTAGGCAGGAACAGAAACTGGAGAACAAGACTGCACAATCTCAACTCCAACAGCATGCACAATTGAATACAAACACAGTGCCATTTACTTGGATGCGGAGTACTTATCCTGGAGGATCTGTTCAGTTTCCAGTGCATAATCAGCAGATCCTACACATGAACATTGCTCAGCAGCATATTAATCAAGGTCAGGCTTGGAGAACAGGAGCACTGAACCTCCAGCCATACCAAACAAGTCACACTCAACAAAGGCAACAAGAGAATGAGTTACAAACAGCCCGGATGCACCAACAAAACACAAACCAGGTTCGCGAGCAGAATCAGAAGAAAAACCAAATAGAGCAGCCACAGCAGGTTCAACAACAGGCACAACTCAACACAAATACACCTCCATTTACTTTCATGCAGAAAACATATCCTGGAGGGTCTGTTCAGTTCCCAGTTCACAATCGGCAAGTTTTGCACATGAATGTTGCTCAGCAACATATCAATCAAGGTCAAACCTGGAAGACAGAAGCCCTGAAGATGCAACCACATGTGCAACTGCAGCAGCCACAACCACCCCATGTATTGAAGCAGCAGCAGCAACAGCACAAGGAGCTGGATATGCTGCATCGAGAGCAACGGCCACAGCAAATACAGCAAGACCAACCAATCAAGACAGATAAAGTGCAACAAACAAAGTTAAACACAAACACAGGTCCATTCTCTGTAATAGAGAAAACATATCCTGGAGGATCTGTTCAGTTCCCAGTTCACAATCAGCAACTCTTGCACATGAACATTGCTCAGCAACATATCAATCAAGGACAGGGATGGAGGACAGAAGCCTTGAAGTTTCAGTCACATGTGCAATTGCAGCAGCAGCATGGGGAGCTGAATCTTCTGCACCGACAGAAACAGCAGCAGCAGCAAAGAGAGCAGCAGCAGCAGCAAAGACAGCAGCAGCAGCAAAGACAACAGCAGCAGCAAAGACAGCAGCAACAGCAAGAGCAGAACAAAACAAACAATGCACAGCAAAAACAGCAATCCCAACAAAACAAGACAGATAAAGTGCAGCAACTTGAGTTAAACACAAACACAGGTCAATTCTCAGTGGCAGAGAAAACCTATCCTGGAGGAACTGTGCAGTTCCCAGTTCACAATCAGCAAGTTCTGCACATAAACGCCGCCCAGCAGCATATCAACCGAGGTCAGGCCTGGAGAGCAGGGGCATTGAATTTTCAGCTACACTTGCAACCACTGCAGCAACAGCAGCAGCAACTGCAGCAGCAGCAACAGCAGCAGAAACAGCAGCAGCATCAGCAACAACAGCAGCAGCGACAGCAAAAGCAGAATCAAACAAACAATTACACACATCAAAAACAGCAACACCAGCAAAACAAGACAGATAAAGTGCAGCAACTAGAGTTAAACACAAATCCATTCTTTGTAGTGGAGAAAACATACCCTGGAGGAACTGTGCAGTTTCCAGTTCACAATCAGCAAGTTCTGCACATAAATGCCGCCCAGCAGCATATCAACCGAGGTCAGGCCTGGAGAGCAGGGGCATTGAATTTACAGCCACACTTGCAACCACTACAGCAACCACTGCAGCAACCACTGCAGCAACAGCAGCAGCAACAGCAGCAGAAACAGCAGCAGCAACAGCAGCAACAGCAAGAGCAGAATCAAACAAACAATTACACACATCAAAAACGGCAATACCAGCAAAACAAGACAGATAAAGTGCAGCAACTAGAGTTAAACACAAATTCATTCTCTGTGGTGGAGAAAACCTACCCTGGAGGAACTGTGCAGTTCCCAGTTCACAATCAGCAAGTTATGCGCATAAATGCCGCCCAGCAGCATATCAACCGAGGTCAGACCTGGAGAGCAGGGGCATTGAACTTTCAGCCACATTTGCAACCACTGCAGCAACAGCAGCAGAAACAGCAGCAGCAACAGCAACAGCAGAACCAAACAAACAATCATACAAATCAAAAACAGCAATACCAGCAAAACGAGACGGATAAAGCGCAACAACTAGAGTTAAACACAAATCCATTCTCTGTAGTGGAGAAAACCTACCCTGGAGGAACTGTGCAGTTCCCAGTTCACAATCAGCAAGTTCTGCACATAAATGCCGCCCAGCAGCATATCAACCGAGGTCAGGCCTGGAGAGCAGGGGCATTGAATTTCCAGCCACACTTGCAACCACTGCAGCAACAGCAGCAGCAACAGCAGCAGAAACAGCAGCAGCAACAGCAACAGCAGCAGCGACAGCAGAATCAAACAAACAATCATACACATCAAAAACAGCAATACCAGCAAAACAAGACGGATAAAGTGCAGCAACTAGAGGTAAACACAAATCCATTCTCTGTAGTGGAGAAAACATACCCTGGAGGAACTGTGCAGTTCCCAGTTCACAACCAGCAAGTTCAACACATAAACGCTGCCCAGCAGCATATCAACCAAGGTCAGGCCTGGAGAGCAAGGGCATTGAACTTTCAGCCACATTTGCAACCCCTGCAGCACCCGCTGTTGCACCAGAGACAACAGCAGCAACAGCAGCAGCAACAACAGCAGCAGCAACAACAGCAGCAGCAGCAACAGCAGCATCAACAAAAAGCAGCCTATCTTCCATGGATGCGAGGACAGTATGTAGGAGGTAGCTCACCCTTTCCCTTCTGGCAAGGTCAGCAAGTTCACGCACCACAGGTCATTCATGTGGCTGGACTCCAGAGAGTGCAACTCAATCAGAATCCAGTACCAGCAACTTTTGAAGAACGCTTAAACCAGACGCGACAGACACAAGCACGGCTCCAGGCTCTGCAACGGCAACACGAGCAACAGGAACACAAACGTCTCCTTCAACATATAGAACAGCAACGACAAGCAGCGCAGCTTGAGCGTGAACAGCAACAACAGCAGCAGCAGCAACAACTGAAAAAAGTCATGCAACAACGTGAACTAGAGTTGCAACTAGCACGTGAAGAGCAACAACGGGAGCTAAAACGGCAACAGGAGCAGCTACGTCAGCGTCAGCGTGAACTGCAGGAACAACTGCATCGGCAACAGGAACGTCAGCGGAAACTTCAAGAGCAGGAACGTGCCAGGCAGCAAGAACTTCTACAGAAACAACACGAAAAGCAGCAGCAACTTTTACAACAGCAACGTGAAAAACAGCAGCAACTTCTACAGCAACAACGCAACTACCAACGGCAGCTGCAGGAACAGCGACGACAACAGCTACGTCAACGCCAAGAGCAGCAAAGACAACAACTGGAACAGCAGCGCCGGCAGCAACAAAGAATTAATGCACCTTGGATGAGGAATGCCCAGCCCGGGGCTCTAGTATTTGTGCCAACGAACTTCCAGCACCACATTCCTCAAATAGCTATCCTACACAATCTGGCTCCATGGAACATCCAGCAACAGCAACAACAGGCACAACAGTATCACGCCGGTGCCACCGAGAGGAACGTAGTCAGTAGTGCGTCTGCAAATAAGACAGTTCCAAGAAGTAATGCAACTGTTTCGGTCAATGTGACTCAACTGACAGACGGCCAGGTTCATGGCAACATACCGAAAAGGCAAGGAACCACGATAAAAAAAGGTCTTTTTGAAACTGTGCAGGAGACACTGTCCCACATTCGTGGGGTTGCAAGCGACCTCCAGAACAAAAACAAACCCAATAATGTCAGTGTGCTACAGGACAATTCCAAAGGTAGTGCAGCCGTTCACCACATGATCACTGTTCAAGAAAACAAGACAAATTTTGCCAAAACCTCAGTGGCCCAGCAGCCAGCTTTTCCTCTGGCTCAGCCTCAGTCAATCTTCCGTCCCTCACTCCAGCAACCTCAGCGAATCCAGATCCACGTGCCTCCCCATGCACAGGGGTACATACCTTTGATAGTGGGTAACCCATATGCAAACAGGGTGCCTTACTTCGGTGGCTTCCCGTTTGGAAGGACCAACACCGTTCCTACAATTGTTCCCGACATAGCCATTGGAACAGGCAACAGCGGCCACGTCTCTTCACGGACCCAGATCTTCCAGAACGGTATGCCAGCCAGCAGAGTGAATGCCAACCAGGACTTCACCCTTATCACCAGGGTGCAGAAGTTTGATGGTGACCTCTTGAGTATCAACTACACCCTAAATCGTGATGCCACTCAGATCGAGAACCCCAAGTCCAGTGGCGGCCCTGGAGTGTCTCTGTCAGACAAGGCTGCAGATGCTATCAAGAAAGCTGTTCGAAGGTTCCGACCCAAGATTGAAGTCAATTCCGGCAAAAGCAAGGACATTGTGGTAAACACCCAGATATACCAGTACGGAAGACCGGTATCTAGTGCAGGCGTAGACAGTACCAGGGAGTTTGTCGTCATAACCAGAGTCCACAACCTGCAGGGAAGACCTTTGAACATCAGGTACACATTCCTGCCCCTCACAAGCAACTGATCCCCAAGAGCAGCACAAAGCAAAAGTGTGCTACTATATGTATATTATATTAACATGCAATAATGCTTCATTTCCTTGTCACATTTCCAGAAAAATAAACTGTTTCACAATAGTTCTGTGCAACTGGACCTTTCGGAGGCAAACACCACAGTTGAAAGCGCACAAACTGAGTAATATGAAATGACCGCAAAGTGTCAAAAACTAGCAGCTATCGTGCTCAGCAGGTTGTAAGCTCTAGTTTTAGTATCTTCTTGGAGAAAACAACAAACAACACTGAAGAGGGCTCAGGCATGCTAGATGTAAATAAAATCAAGATATTCCCTGCAACCTGCAAATTATTTCACCTAGCATATCATATATACTATGGAAATAACTTTTTTTACACTTTGCAGAAAACATTAGCTTACAGAATCTATAGTAGCTGATTGTCAGAAGGGAAATATTCAGATTGAAAATGACAACAAAGATATAATAAAATTATTTATTGTGATATTCATATGCAAAAAGCATAATGTTTTAAAATCCAATGTACACATTCCACAAAAATATCTACACAGCATGTTTATGTACAGTCTTAGGTATATATATGTACACAAAATACAGACACAGCAAAGCATTTGTTTCCTTTCTTCTGAAACTGTAGAATTCACCTAAGCATGACACACTTGTACTTTGATGCAGCTATACAAAACTTGCCTATTCTATTGAAAAGACAGGAGACATGCAACAGAAGACATAGAACTATTGCCTTGTACAAGTGTGACAATGTAACATAAGATATACATCACTATTGCCTCACACCGGACTGCCGAGTTGATACCCAAAACATGAACTTTGGAGCTTGATTTTGAGGCAATTTTCTTTCCACTGGAAGAAAAACAATTGTGGCAGACCCAGTTCAATAAATGCAATCACAATGTTCGTTGTTATTATGTACAATTAATAACACTGCATGAACTTGCATTTCGGCAGACAGTTAAAACCATGTTTCAAACCAAGTACAGTAAACTAAATATCACAAATTTATGTTGTTGTACTATGCCTTTCCTGAATCATAGCTAAAGTCTTAGGTAAACATCAATACAAATTTTGACTGAAAATGAATGGTAATGTCGAAAATAAGAATTTGGCAGTCAAACACACACACAAAAAAAGTTCATCAGGACTCTTCCAGTAGTATAAATAATACAAAAGCACCACTGGTTACGATAAAGAAAAGAAATGAAGTGACGGCAGAACACACTTGTCACATCACAACAGAAACAAGTTGAAGCACCAGAACAGCATTCAAGGAACAATAGTATCAGGCAATCTAAAGCATCACTAGCCATTCAAAAATTTAACCAATATGTTACTTTTGATCAATAGCAAGCTTGTTAGGAACTGAGACGACCTATAAGCAAGTTAAACACTGCGAGTTACTCCTGAGAACGCCAAATGAATAACTCTGCATAAAACTGTGCAGGTGGGTGCTCTTGATTAATGGAAGAGCAAGAACCCCCAACAAATTTTAAATAAAATCGAAAAAAAAGAAGATGTCCACTTAGTTGAAGGAGAGCTTGCAGCAGCCTGCAATGCTTAGCAGATCTCACAAGAGTTATTTACTGCCTCACCCGTTTCCATGTTCAACTGCCACAACCTTCATGCTTTCAAAAAACAAACACGCAATACCAAAAGAACAAACACAGATGGGCCTAAAGTAGAGTGTTTACACCAAAATTACCCACTAAGCCACCAGGCTTGGGTTAGGATACCTGCACGACCAAACAAAGCTGGACTGAGCTTCAAAATATGCTAAGCCATGCTTTAGCGCCTTTACAACCAAAGTAGCAGCTTACATCAAGAAATGGTCCAAGTTTTTTTTTTTTTTTTTGTCTTAAAACCTATTGTACACTGTTCCAACGAGTGGACAAGGAACAGCCTGACTAGGACATACAGCCATTCCCTCCTCTACCAAAAGAGTTTGAAGAAAAGTAAAATTCATTTCTAAACACACAATTACTCCCTTACAAAAAAAAGAAAAAAAAAAAGGTCAATCACTTCCTTCAGTTTTGAATCAGATCCCTCAGTACAACGACTGGAAGTAGCATAACAAAAACCAAAGACACGCATTCCTCTATAAGAAGTGCCCAAGGCTAGATCAACGCCATGCCCAATTTCTCTCCAACACCTATACAATGTCGACGCAGGACCCCCAAAAAAAGAGGTCCTCGTCACTCAAATCACACCCTGCATCAACGAGCCGCCCGTGCAACAATTCAAAACGGCCAGGATTGCGTCAAAAACATGCTGTGCATTCAAATGTGCGCTTCCATTACGCAAGTGGCCGAGCCTTGAACAACCGACGCGGTGCAACAACAACTGCAACCCTAGCGACAAAAAATGAAAACACGGGCAGCTTCAGTTGCCTACAAGCATTGCTAGATGCCGTTTAACCCTACAATACCGCAGCGGATGTCACGAGGCACCGGAGAAGTATGCAGAGACATTGGAGAAGTATGCGGCAACGCGCGCTGCACGTAGTCACACGACACATTCACGGCTGATGACGTCAACTCGCTCGCAGCATCCTCTGCGGTCCATCGTAAGGTGAAACGGAGTACAGAGGTCCGGATTTGCACGCCAGCCACGTAACAGATACCCAACCTCCCCGGCTTTGAGCGGTGACGCGACGACGCGCTGCAAGAGTAGTGCCACAACGAATCGCATGGGCACTGAATGTTGCACCAAGCGTGGGGCAGAGTGATGCCACGAGGAGAACCTCTTCCGGGACGACGGGGGATGGCCTCCGCTGTCACACCGAACTCTGCTTGAGGAGGGAGAGCTGACTACCAGCGTCTACGCCGAACTCGTGGTCGATGCCGTCCGGGAGTAGACCCTTGGTGATCGAGCTCGGCTCGGAAGGATGGCGAGACTGCGGCGGAACCACCGCCACCGGGATGTTGTTGCCTCGGCCTGCATTGTGCGCGAGACCCGGTTAGATCAAGACCGCTCCCCCCTCACGCGCTTCTCGACGACTCTCCCCTTGCGTAAACTGTGAAACTGAGTGTACGACCAGGATATGCCCAAGTCTTTTACGTTTGTGATTGAAATACACACTGACAGAACTTTGGTCTAATAGGCCGATCTCACCAGCTAGTTTGACTACGCAACCGCTGCCGACATGCATCGTGGGAGCTGTAGTCTTTCTGCACGCGCGACAACCCTGCTGGAGGTCTGCGCGAGCAGAGCACGAGGCGACATGAGCTGTCTCATGAACCGGCGTCTGCCTCCTACGAACTACAGTTATGGCGGCGTCACGCATGCGTGGAACGCTTGGTGAGATCGGGCTATTGTACGTGTGGTGCCCAATAGGGGTGATGAATATGTCGCCTCTCTCTTTTGGATTATGAACGTTAAGCATGGTTTACACTAGTTTTACTGTGCTGCATTTTGTGACCAAACAATTTCTATAAGGTCCCGGAAAAAAAAGGCAGCACATACAGCTCCCCAGAAAAACAAACAAACCATAAAAAAAAGTAAAATTTGAAGATAGAAGAGACTTTTCTTGACTTTTTCAGAATGTGCTCTTCAAATGTGAAAGGTGCAGACAAATCCCTATATGTTTCGTGAACAGTTTACGCAGTGACCCTTTGGTGAAAGAAAGCTGTAAAAGAATGGGCAGAGGGGCAACTTGCTCAAAACTTGTAAAGTTTTTCAATTCTTGACTAATGGATCAAAAGAAAAAGGATTCAAGGTACACCTAAGCACTTCTTATGAGTTGTGAATGCAAAAGCATGAATTTCATCCTTGCGCGCGTCCACGTGAAGTTGCCAAAGCCTCGCTGACATCGGCCGTGCCGCCGCTCTGTCAGTGGCACGGAATCGGCTGCAGGAATCGGCTGGCATGCTCGGGTGGCTGTGCCGCTGCCCGAGCTTGCTAGCCGATTCTTTTTGTTGGTGCGTGGGCACGCACCGCCATGGGGTGGCGCCGATTGAAAGTGACGTGCAGCGACCTCCTTCGGCTTCATTTAGTTACCGTTTTGCGTGGCTTTTTGGGCGGCTTCAAAGCTGGGATGCCTCAGATCGCAACTTCACGAATTTATCTGCCGTTTGGCGCGGCTGATGACGTCAACTCGCTCCATAGGACCAGTTAATGCTTTCGCATTAAAAGCAACATTTCTAGTGGCATTGACACAGTGGTAAATCCTACACTAGTAGTGCGGTCTGTGCAGGCAAGATATACGCCAGGGGGACATAACATAGGGGGCTAATAGTTGCAATAGGTCGGTTAATTAAGTAAAACTTATCTTTTTAATTAGTAAAAATAAACATGTTTACAATTAGCAACTTTGCGAACGTGATCGAAAACCACTTTTTCAGTAAACTTTAGAAAGACTGAGCGTGTCGAAAGCGCTGTAGCACACTGAAGTTATGAATTTTGCAACAGACACAAGGCTCGCAGTGCAAAGATGCGGATCATGAGAGACGTAAAAACTGCACGGGAGTGTTTTCACTCCACTAGCCTCGCGCTGGTTGCATGAATGGAAACTTTAGTGCACCACTGTACTTCCTATACGCTCCAGGTTCTTCTAAATTTTACTGATTCATTTGTTTTCGATGACACTCAGCAAGCTTCTGATTGCAACTATATCTTTATCTTCACTAATTCAATAAGAAATTAACAAATATTATATACCAAATTCATTGTCATAATTAACCCCCATGTCATGTTACCCAGGTCATATATAACTCACCTACTCAGACCGCATTAGTGTAGAAACTAATTTCTGAAAGACTGAAGATATGAAAAAAACAACTTTGCCTCACTGTAGAGTGGCAAGCACCTTGATTAACCATCTGAATATTGCTCCTCAGAAAGACAATAGGCAGATTAGCACTTGCATTCACTTTGTACTAAGAGGTTCTTTAATGCCATCCTAGGCTTACTTTTCACGAAAACAATTAATGACTTGTGCAAGTGTAGCAGCAAGTAGGGATTCTGCAAAGTCTTCACTTCGAACCAGTGGCACAGATTACGGCTGACAGGCATTCCTTTATGTTGCAAATGAAAGTGTGATTGTAGCAGTTTTTGTTGACATGCAGAAGCGTCAAGACGCTTCTGCATGTCTCAGGGGAGGCGTGGCATAAAGTTACTCAGGTAAGCGTATGTTCCAGCTTAGGCTTATTTTACCGCAGATATATTTTGATAATACTTTCACATAATCACATGCAATCCCACAATTGTGTTTTTGTAGATTTATACTAATGCTGAAAGGAGCAGATAATCTCATTGTTGTCTCAAAAATGTTGATAGTCTGCCCATTTTTTCATGGAATCCATTTTTCTCAGTGTTAGTGACTCGAGAAATTCTTTCAAATCAGATCCTCACAAAAATTAAGTGGTTTACAGTATGTCATTTTTATGGTACAGAAATCAACATTTACGCTCCAATATTGCATTTAATTCCACATAGAAGGAATGGATAGTGGCTTTCTACATGATACCAACAAAATACATAACTTACGTAATTGATTTAAAGCAGTTGTGCTGAAACTCTTATTGCGACATAGCACCAAGGGTTTGGTAATATCAATACTACAGTGACACACTGATGACAAGGCACAGCAAACAAGCAACAGCCATCGGATGAGCACCAGAAAAGTGAAACGTTCACAGATAGCATACACATAATATTTTTTTAATTAAAAATATATATTATGAAGCAATAGAAACATTAGTATATTATTCACTTGCAATGCAGTTTTGTTGTAGTTAGAGACATGATAAGCATGGTAGTACTGCAAATGCAAACCGAAATTTAAAAACCTCTGGATTTTCACCTACTGACTCTACATGTTACACTAGCTCTAGTAAACAGGGCATTCAATTGATGGCTGTTTTTGTAGCCTCAGATATAATTGGATTCTTGGTTTGATGTATGTAACACTCTCAAAAAAAAAAAATAACAGCCACATCAGATCCGAAGTCGAAGGCAGAGTAGAAAATATAGCACTGGGAATAGAACCCTTTCACAAACTCCATCAAATTTTCATAAACTCTTGCAAAATTGTTCTAAATGGACATTTCTTCTAGGCCCCCTGAAATTTCCAAACTGTTCCAATTTCAATGGTCACTCCGAGAAAAATGCAGGTTTGAGGGAAAAAAAAAAGACAAACAAATGTTGGAAGTCCTGACTGCACAATTTGAAAACACATTTAAGGGATTTTAAGGGGGGACATAGGCCTAAATTTTAAATTTTTTTAAAAAAAATTAATTTTTCAATTTTAAGGTTTTCAGTTTTATAAACTTATTATACACCCTTACACCAAATTTGATAACCATACGCCAAATAGTTACGTTGATATAAAATATTTTAAACACATTGTGAGGCAGTAACAAAGTAAAGGAGTTCAATGTTCGAATGCATTTTTCTCAGTTCCACTTTTTGCTGCAAACTTCATACGAAGGAATCTTTTGTTTGAAGGTAAAAGTATTTGGATACCACAATCAAGATGTTTCTGAACTGAAATTTACTCAGGAATCGGGCTATCTACTTTATTTTGTTTTAAGTTGAAGTCCTCAGCGATAAAAAACTAAGTTTTCAAAAATTGACATGGGGCAGATATGCATCTCATATTTTGAGGTAATAACTCTTCCTGAAATATTTACATTTAAGCTATTAAAACTAGATAGCCCGAGGTCCCATATCCCCCACTTTATATTCAAGCAGTCAAAGTGATGCTTATTAGCTTTATTTGAATATCATAGATTTCTTAATGAAAAGTGACACATCATCTTATGCAGGTATGTAAATTTGTCCTAGGGAGCCGAAAGTTTGCACAGTACACCTACATCTGAAGCTAAATCTCTCCTGAAAATTTCATTTTGATCACTTGAGTAGTTCAAAAGTTTGACCTCTAGCCAGTGTCCCTCCTTAAATTCTAGCTTGGCTAAACCCTACTGCTCTTTGTTATTGGCCCATTTGATTGGGTTTCCTTGTGTACACCCTATGCCCAAACATTTTTGCAGGACATACAGCACTGGTAAAACTGTGTTTCATAAGATATGCAGTCTTACTCGTAAAAACAAAGTGGGTTGTTCTTAAAAGAAAAAAAAATGTTCACTTTCGAAATGTGGAATGGTTACTAAGCTTTTCCATGCGTGGTATTCAGTATAATGTCACTCATTTTGCTAGTAGACAGAGAGCCAATACAAAAGTCAAACTAATAACAAACTTAATTTTTTTACAAGAGTGCAAGTTCTGCTTTTAAGACATAAGGTTCTTCCCTTAGAAGGCCTTACTGTATGAAAGACAAAATTTTGAAATAGGAAAGAAGGAAATTTACTTTTTTGTCAAGATTACTGCATACATCAGCATTCCATGAGGCATACATAATGTTAGAGTCTGTTGCCAACTTTTTTTCTCACAGTTTAGTCACACATTCTAAAGCATTAGCAAAAGCACACACACACACACACATTTAGAAATCCATACATGTGTGGCAATAACTGACATTATGTTATATCTTGAACCTCCATAGCAACCAAATTTCACATACAGAAAAAAAGCAAAAGCAGTTGTGAATGTTGAATGCACATTACTTAAAACCGAGAAAGTGAAAAAAAAAAAAAACAGCAAACGAAACCTTCTCTTTTCATCCCCAACCATTTTTTTTCCTTTCCTTGAAAGGGGGAGGGGGAAGGGTGGGGGGAGGAGTCTTTACATCTTCGAGCCAAATCACCAAAGTTGTGTTTAACGATTCTTTACCATTGATTTTTGGTATGTATCAGTTTGCCCCAATCACTGTGGTTCTGATTTTGTGAAAGTGCCATTCATACCCATTATATGCTTTTACCTGTCAATACATTGCCTAAAAATACCCAATACAAAATACACACAGGACTAAAAATACATAAAAGCATCATGGCCTACTAACACTCTGCAGACTCAAGATATAGCTGCACTACAACTCT